TCGTGTTAGTTGCTAAATGAAAGGTAAAGAAAAATTCAGGGGTTTTGGCACAGTATCAGAAAAATGGTTCTAAAATTCCTAGTGACATCTGGCATACATGAGTAAATCAGCATCTTTTTCAAGTTAGTTTAGCAATCTTTAAAGTATATCTAGAAGAAATGAAGAATAAAAGAAAAAATAAAACTTGAGCAAATTATAAGTTAACTTACAATCAGCATCTTTTTCAAGTTAGTTTAGCAATTTTTAAAGTATATCTAGAAGAAATGACATGAAACTTGAGCAAATTATAAGTTAACTTCTATAGCAATATTGAAAGTTGTAAATGCCACAGGACATTTTTTCTCGTATTCCCATATTCATGTTTATTTTTGCTCTTTGGCCTAGAACAATTAGCAGAGTTACGTCAGGAATTCATTCGCCAGGAAGATCAGCTTCACGAGTACAAGAAGAACAATACTTACCTCACAAGGAGACTGGAGTACGATAGGTATGTCTTCAGCAGTGTGAGTAACTGCAGATTTGTGTGCCTGTGTAATGGAAGTCTGTACTTAAAAAGTGCAAATTAGTCCTTTTTCTGCTAATTCTGCAATTGAGTATACTTACTTGGGGTTGTAACTTTGACTTAGCTAATTGATTTGTAAAGTTTTGGGGTTTTTTTGTTGTTCTACTCCCCCTAAAGTGAGACATGATCTAAGACAAATCTGACTTACTGGAGTTGTTCAGCATTGGACAATTTTAAGTTAATGCATTTTTTAGAACAAGGAGATCTAAGTTAACAAATACTTGGAAGAGTTTCATCAACACAGGTCTGTGAGCTGCCAGAGTTGTTAATTGCTGTCTTTCTAAAAGTGTAATTTTAATTTTTTTTCAACTGAAGTTGTTGTATGTTGAAATTTTAAGTTGACCTCAGTCTTTGAAATTTATGCTGGAGAAGCAGGGAGAACAAGTCCTGAAGCACTGAGGAGTGAGGGAGGTCCAAGTGTTTTCTCAAGTGTTAAACTTTCACACACCAAAAAAATAGTCTCCACTTGTATGTGCTGTGTTGAGTCTTTGTGGGTTTTCAGGAGATGGGAATTTGTTGAGTTGAGTTAGTCTCTGTGTGGCTTGTTGATGAAGTTGGGACACTTATCTGTGTCATTCAGATGTTATCTGAGTTGGTAGCAGTAACTGATAGTGGCAGTTGTGCGTCTTTGGCGTTGACAGCCACGGGCGATACGTTGCTTTCCTAGTGGAATTAATATATGCTGATGACAAATTAACTGTGAAGCTTGAATTCTCAGTTGCTTTCCAGATTTTGGAGGCAATATGTTCAAGGCCATTCTGTTTATTTTACTGTTTTTCTGCTCTGTCCCTATTTTTTCCAGTTCTGCTTTCTTTCTGTATTCAGTCCATTTCCACTCCATACACATTCCAGGACAAGGCTTTTTGGACAGACTATTCTAGTTATATCTCAGGTTTGGCTTTTTGTGCCACTTCATATTTTTCCCCCTATTTTATTTCTGGCAGAGCAGATACAACAAATGAAATATAACTAATAATGTGTTTCTAATCAAGTCTGCAGTGTGGGCAGCAGATCAAGGAAATGAGATTGCAACATGAAGAAAACATAAAGAAAATAATGGAGCAAGTTGTGCGGGAACAAAAGGTAATGCACAGCTAAGTTTCTTTGTTGAATCAGAAGAGCACGAGATCTGCTGTTTGTTTGACTCAGCATTTCACATATACAGAGGCCTTGGATGTTTTTTTCCCTAACTTTTTGTTAAATATTGCCCTGAGCAGCCCTAAATTAGTGTAAGAAAACATCTGCCTGTTCTGCTCAGTCAGGGAACTGAGCCTTGAAGATGAGGCTGAATTCCTTGCTCTGCTACAGCCTTCCTACATGACATCATTGCTGAGGATTTCAGCTTCTTCTCTGTAAAATGGATATTACTTTGTAGCTCTCCAGGGTAGGATCTGTGTTCTTACAACCTTATACAGGTTGTTGCAAAGGGTAACTTGATCTCTATTGAGGCCTCGAGGTGCTAACGTGATGCAAATAACAATGGTATGGGAAAGGTATCAAGGGTGTAATTATGTGATGCAAGCTGCCAGAAGAATATGGGCCTCTTTCATACAAACAGATGAAATATCCTGTTCTTCTTAAAATTTCCTTTCCTTACTTTGTCTCTGTTTACAAACATTTCAAATAATAAGGCAGACTTGAAGCAGATTGCTACCTGCTGTGAAGAAAACTAACTCTGTCCCAGTCAAAACCAGCACGTGTGTCCATATTCCCACCTCCTGCCCTCGGGATTCAGGTTCATATACAGAGCACTGATGTTGTTTGCTTAGATCATCTCATTCATAAATGTGATTTTGCTTACCCAAAGTAATCTTGAATTTGAGGGGTTTTCTTTTGTAATTTTCAGGGATGTGCTTAATGTTGGTTCTTTCTGAATTTGTTCTAGCAGGCCACACAAAAAATTCAGTCCAGTAAGGACACTGAAGTAAGTCCCAATAATGACGACCAGGCAATGTCTAAGACTGATCCAGAGGCAGAAGATAAAAACACAGTAAAGAATGAGCAGCCTTCAGATCATGCTGTAAATGGCAAAGGTATTTCCTTTTTTGACACTTCTGATAGATAATGGGTCATATTCTGACAGATAATGTGCTGTATAATTTGGTACCAGAACCAGGCATTTCACTGAAGTAGAACAGTGAATTCTTTGGCTCAGATAACTGATCAGCTGCGTGTGATTGTACTAAGCCAGAGTTTATAGGTATCCAGAGACTGGCATGTCCTTTCTCTGGGTCCTTTTTATGGAAGTAGTTTCTTGCACAGTTTTGTGTTCACTTAGTTGGTTCATTTGGCATCTCCTTCCTCATGTGGCCAGTTGGGAACTGGGGATTGCCTCTCCTTCCTCATGTGGCCAGTTGGGAACTGGGGATTGCCTCTCCTTCCTCATGTGGCCAGTTGGGAACTGGGGATTGCCTCTGCACGCCCTGGAAGGTGTGTCTTGGGGTGAGCTAGGGAGGGGGCATGTTGTTGGGGAGCTGGAATGTGCACGGAGGAGGTGGCTGGAGGCTCTGACTTTGGGAGTGCTGCTCCAAAGCAGTCTTCAGTCACTTCCACAGTACAGTATGAGGAGTGTTGTGGTCACATTATCACTACAGGACATGTTCTGTGGATAAAGGACTTTTTCTCCTGGTCTTAGAGCCTTCCACAACAGGGAAATTCACTGTTCAAACATAAAACTTAATAAGGCAGAATATCCTATTCTTGTCTGACAGAGAAAATCAAACCAGGAGGAGATGCAGGCATGCCTGAAATAGAAGACAATGACCCTGCGAAAGCTGAAGATACTCCCACAGGTTAGGAGAAATATTCCAATACTTTCACATTCAGGTTCTGGGTGGTGTATATATTCTGTTTGAATACCGTGTGTTTCATAGTGAATGCAAAGGTTTAAAATCTGTCTGTGGCAATAAAATTCAAGCGGGGTGTAAAATCTGATAGTTTTTACTGTGCTTTAGAGGCTTGAATTCTCAAAACTAAATGCTTCTGATAATATTTTTTTTTTCCCCCAGAAATCTTGTATTTTATATTTTAATCTATGATTTAAAACCAAGAAAACAACAACAAAAGTTTACAGGATAGTTAGAGGAAGACCTGGTATATGGTGTCTGTCTGTTTCATGTCAATACTTTTGTCCATGTATTTTATTTTAGCCTTAAAGAAGCCACTTATTTCAGCTCCTAAAAGTGAAGGTCATCAACCTGTCATAAATCTTCCAACTGAACAGCCCCATGCTCCAAATCTGGCACCAGGTAAAATTCTTATTAGCAGGTGACAAGTCAACATTTGGTAGGAAAATTACCCATTAATGTCTGTTACCATATGATGAATCTTAGGTGGACGTGGGCAGCTGCTTTTTTGTGTTTGATGTGGTTCCAAAAAGAAAAAAAACCCCAGTCAGTTTCCACAGGGTACAGGATTGAGTGTGTTCTTAGTCTGGCCTCTGGAGGCACAGAGGTTGCTGGTTGTACAATCTTTCTTTGTCACACACACTAATTTCTGAACCTTTTGGCCAACTTCAGCCAGATTTGAGAGTCAGAAGTTTCAAAGATAAGTGCTTCAAGATTTCTCCACTAGGCAGAGGAGAGGATTTGAAATGAGTACTCTTCCTTAGGGGTACTAATTAGACAGGGTTGCAACATATCATCAAGAGTTGATTGTTGATCTCTTGGTAGCCAGTTGGAGATTAAACAGTGGTGCTACCAGTTGCTCATTGTCCTGTTTCTGTGAACAGCTCACTTGAGGGTGACGTGGGAGAGGTTTAGGACATGAGAGAACTGAGAGTACTGCAGCGAAAGGGTTTAGAAGAATTGCAGTTAGAAAGGACACAGATCCATAGAAAATATACTTAAATTTAATGCTTGTGGACCAAGTCACTTTGCTTTAATGTCAAAGAGAATGTTGGGTTATATCTGCCCTGCAAGTGGCATATTCAAATACTGTCCTGCTAAAAGCCATTAAAGATAACGCACTCGTTATATATTTGTGACATGACCAAACAGCTTGAAGTTTTTTGTTATGCCTATTAATGGTTCTTTTCAGAAAAGGCAACAGAAATATTTCTTAATTTCTTCCCTTTTGCAGTGGTTCTGTGAGAAGATTAGAATCCCCAAAATCATTGAGTTCAAAGCCTGTATACACATTTAAAGTTTATCACTTCCAAATGTCAGGTCTTTTAAATAACTCATTCCTTTTTGTTGGTCAAAGGTAGTCCTTCATTTTGACTTTTATTAATGAGAAAACATGAAAGATAGCAAGTGAAGTGCTTACTTCCTTGAATTTAGAATTTATCAACAGAAGGTTGATGTGAATTTCCAGGGGACCAGGGTTTTCTGTATTCCTTGGTTATGTAGTCCTGTGATTCTGCTTATTATTTTTAGCATCGCTTCTGTGACCTACTGCAACCTTCTCCTCAGATCATAGCTCTTGAAACAATAAATGGGCTTAGTAGATTTGAAAAACAGAATCAGCAGGAGGATTAAAAAAAATACCTAAATGTATTATTGTTCTGGGCTTCATCAAGCACTTAAATACCAACATAAAATCATCTGAGAAGGTAATGACTTAGGATTGATTATGTATTAAAATGTGATGAATTCTCTTCTGTGGTAACATTATAGCCTTCTTTTGGAACCCTGTAAGAACCAAACACCCTTCCTCATTCTGTAGGTTTGCACAGTGACAATGATGGAAACGTGGATATTGCGAAGCAGATCCCTCCAAATTCTCTCCAGCACTTAAATTTTGAAGAAAATGTGGAAAATCAGAACGAACACAAAATTGAGACAGACCATATAAAAATTCCAAAGAGCAGAGTTAGTGACTTGCAGAAGATAAAGCAAAGTAAGTTGGCCAGTATCATCTAGTTCAATACATCAAGAAAATCGGTTCATTTTCTGTCTGTAATAGTGCTTGTCTGGAAAATAGGGACCGTTACAGTGGGTGGCATCTGGAGAGTGAGTCTGAAAGGAAGTGTAGTGTGTTGCTGTGTAAAAGATATGTCTTAATGTGTCCTCTTTCATATATATATTCAGTTATTAAAATTTGCTTATAGGAAGTTTAAATGCTTTTGGAAATTACTACACATTTAAATAGATTAGGTCAAGACTTTTGATACGTGCATGATGCTGACTTACTTATATTCACACTATATTACTTGACTTAAATATGATGTTTTGGACAATATCATAAGAATTCAGCCCTTACGTAGGGGATCTTTCTGGTGGGATGTGTATATTGGTCAGAAGTTTGGACCTCTGTAAGAGGAGGTTTTCCAGAACCCTCCTCTTCCACGTCTGCTCAAGGAAGAAGCCTTCAGCCAGGAGCAGATCGTGTCCCTGTTTATTGTGTGTGACAGTGGTAATTAATGTTGCTGGGGCTTAGTGGGCAGACAGCAGGTAAGAGTTTGCAGATACACACCCAGCTGTCTGGGAGCTGATGATTGGAGATGCAGCAGGAACTGTAATGGGGGGAGTGTTACACCTACAGTGTTTGATTTAGCACAGGAGTGTTGTATACATGATATTGAAACAAGTTTCTTGTGGTGTCAATGGAGATACTATACTTCTAAGTATAGTATAGAGTATCCTGACTGGGTATACCTTAACCTAGTTATTTTTAAAGAATTAATTCCCATTGTTTAGTGTTTGGGTGGGGAAAGGGCATCTGGAATTAAAAACACAGTGCTGAAACAGCTCTTCTTGGTTTTGTTTTGGGTTTGGTTTTTGTTTTTTTAAATGTAAATAAGATTTTTCTTTATTTGATAAAGCTGTTATAAATTCAACTTTAAATTTCTCTGTACTCACAGCTAAGTAGCTTTCATTTAGGCTTTGTTTTTTATGATTACAATCTGTCTGTACTCCAAGATGACAAGTTATCACATCAGAACAGCCAGCTTCAGCGTCACGAGAACTGGGAGGAGAAAAGGATTCGATCACCTCCTGCCAGAAGTGGGTGTTAATTCTGTGGGTCAGATAAGCTGCAGGACAGAAACAGCAGTTTTGGGAAACAGAATCCTGAATTGATCAAAGAAAAGAATTCTGCAAACTAGAGTCACTCTCAGAAAGATTAAACTATGAATTAATGTTGCCATAAAAGGTTTAGTTTGGGAAATTCCCTTTGTTAGATTAAGCTGTTGCAGTTTCTTTTCATGGTCCAGGACTTTTGCTAGCAGAGAGCTGGAGGGTGTGTGTGGGAAGAAAGGGCCGTGGGGGGATGTGGGAGTCCAGAGTGTTCTCTCTTCCACCCCTCACCCCCTCGTAGCCCCTGAAGGGTCAGAGGGTAAAGCCTGTAGCTAGTGCCAGACTTTATCCAAGAGGTTTAAGACAACACCCAAAATGGTTTCTGAACCCCTAACAACTTTGAGAGAGGTACCACGAGAAGACATGTCTTTGAGAAGTGAACGGAAAGAGGATTTGAGGCATTACAGAGAGGCAGCAGCCTGGCTTTGCCTGGAAAGGTAACAACAAATTCTCAATCAGTTTGAATACAATATGACAAGTGGTTAACATGGATTTTTCAATACTAGATTGTGTCAGAGTGATACAATCTGAAAAGGATGTATTCAAAGGGACAGAAGCAGTGAGAACAGGAATGTGACTGTGTCACAGGCTCATGAATGAGACCTGCTCAGGGATAAATTGCTGCTACCGTAAGAAAAGAATATTCCAGGCACAGGGATCACTGACAGTTTTATTTACAGAAAAGCTTCTGTGAACTTTACAAAGATGCATCCTTTGCTTGGCAGCCTTTGGTATTTTGAGTGCTGGAGGATAAACAATGTATGAGATGTGTTTTCAGCAACAGTTTGTAAACAAAAGTAGTCTGCAGTGAGAATGGAGAGTGACACACACAGAGTAAGTGAGGAGTAGTGAGTGAGCAGTTCAGCCAAAACCCATGTGGTCAACGGTGGATGTTAGTCACTAAGAAATGTTTGAAGTGAGGTTTTTCTTCTGGGTTGTGTTAACAGGAATGTCAAATATGTAACAAACTCTGGTTTACCTAGTGCTGGCTTTAAATATCAGAGAAAGATGGTGGAAAGCTGGAAGGAATTCAAGGGAGAGAAAAAATAAATCAATAGTTTAGTGTGAAGTGGGGAATAAAGCTCTAAAAAGACCAGGGTGGAAGAGGTAGGGGATGGACATCAATTTACTGGCTTTTGTAGAAACAGACCTTTAGGGAAGGCTTTGGTTATTTTAATATCACTCTTGGATCTTTCTGATGAAGTGTGGGGGTAAGTGTATTCAGAATTGGCATCTGAGCTTTTCTTCCACTCTGTGTATCCTGCGCTGTGCAAGACTACTTTATCAAAGGAGCTTCTTGAAGATCCTGCGCTGAGTGACTGCAGCTGCAATGACAGAGCTCCATCTCAGCTCTTGGGGTTTTTAGGTGGATTGGCTGTCTTCCCTGGGGTGGATTTAACGATGTGGGGGGCGAGCTTTGCAGGCAGGAGCAGTGGCTGAAATGTCTCTGTGGAAGGTTCCCAATGGGCACCCGAGTCAGTCCCCATCACTGATTAGTCTCTTCTCTTTGCTCCTTCATATTTGGGATAACTGACATTGTACCTTGTAGTGATGTCTGAGGGAGAGACTTCCTCTGTCATGTGTGGAAATAGCTAATCCAGGTTTGCAGGAGATTTATTTTCTGATTGATCAGCTGTGGCTGTTCTGAAAGGTCCATTGGTGAGAAGTTCATCCCTCTGGTACAGAGGAGCCCAGCTCTGGCACAGCTTTGTGTGGTTTTGGGTTTGGTTACTGAGCGCTTCCAAACTTGCTGTGCCTCAGCCCATGGGGTGAGATGAGTAACCATCGCTGGTCAGTGTCTCCTGTCTGTCTGGTTTCAGAGTCAGGGAACTTCTTCCCAAAAGATATTTTCCTTTTTTATCTTGATAGCATAGATTTAAAAATTAATTTTGGAACTAGGTACCGAGATGGGCACATTGTGGCCATTTGGCTTCAGAAGAAGCAGAAGCCGAAAGCGACTGCAGCAGTGTCACTGTGGGTGCATTTACCTGGAGAACAGCCGGGTGCAGCAAACCCCCAGTCCCTGCTGCTGTTCAGAGTTGTCCTCTTGGCAGGTCCTTCGTGATGAGCATGTGGACAGCTGCTCCAAGTAGTGTGTTTGTAAGGATCCAGCTTTGAGTAACACCCCATGTGTCTCTTCAGAATTCATTTCAGCAGATGTTCCCTGCAGATTTTAGCACCAGTGACATCCTTATGGGGCATCTTGTGCTGCCGCTTACCTCTTGTGCTTCATGAGGGGCTGGAGAACAAGTCTGTGAAAAACTGTGAAGTTCTTCACAGACTTAGGAAGAACAAGAACTTCTGTGAACAAGTCTGTGAAGTCTTTCTGAAGAAATTTTTCTTCACTGAAAGGGTTCTCAGGCACTGGAATGGGCTACCTAGGGAAGTAGTGGAGTCCCCATCCCTGGAGGGATTTCAAAGCCGGGCAGATGAGGTGCTCAGAGATCTGGTTTAGCAGTGGACAGGTACAGTTGGACTTGATGATCTCAAAGGTCTTTTCCAACTGAACAGTTCTGTGATTCTATGGCAGCACGTTCCACTGAGCCTCAGCCAGCCTGTGTAACGCTGCGTGACGGACACTGACTCAGGTCTGGAGCGATCTGGGAGATGCACAACGCTGTCAGGATTCCAGATCTTGTCCCTCTGGTCCAGAGAGCACTTGGTGCATTGCTGGCTCTGGCTCCCAGCGACTCCTGTTCCAGTGGTTGCCTAAAGTCTTGGTATCCCAAGAGCACTGTATGTCCCTTGTGTTAGAGCATTGATGTTCTCCTGGTGTTGGGTGAGGAGTCACCTGCTGCCTAAGCCCTTTGTACGTACACCTGACTGCGCGCACAGGCAGTGGAGTCGCTGTCGAGACCACCAAGCCCAAAACGACTGCTGGTGAGGTTGGTGTGTGCTCAGGGCCTCAGCCCAGGGTTTCAGCCTCTCCTCCCTTGATTTGGAGCAGCTTGAGCTAAAGTACCAAATGTTCACAGCAGAGTGAAGCAGCTGTAGTGACAGTAGCTGCATCCTGAAGGTCGTGGTGCTGGACCTGAGCTCTCCAGGGCTGTCCTGGACGCTGGGCTGCTCACACCAGCTCCAGCTCCCAGGCCTGGAAGGTCTCACTGTTTCCTCAGATCCCTTTCTGCTGTTTCACTCCTGTTGGTTTGAGTTCACTCAGAGCTCGTTTGTCACAGATTTCTGGCGTGTCCACAGGCCTGGTTTGGCTGTGAGTGAAGTGCATTCAGTTGTCTTTCCAGAGCCTGTTTTATATTTAACACGTGTGAATTGCACAGCTCTGTCTGCTTTTTCTGTATAAGTGTCCAGCAATACCAACAGCAGCACAGGGGTTACTCAGGGATGACTAGAGAATGAATAATAACTTTTGATTTCTAAACGGATCATAGTTTCTTCTTGCTTATTTTATGAAAATAACTGAAACTTCTGTTTCTGTACATTTGAGCCACACTCAATGTGATTCTTCTGCTCTTCTTCCCACCCAGATAAGCACGAAGTTATTGTTTGTCTTGATTTTTATATCCTGCCACATACTACAGTTTTCATTGTTTTAAGAAATAATTTCATTTTTACATCTGTCCATCGTAACCCCAACCACCTTTCTAATGCTAATGTTGAAATCTCATTCTCCAGTTCTGCTTCTCTGTTTAACTGTGAATCACTTCACATCTGCCTTGGCAGACTGTTTTCTCAGGCCGTTTCCAGTCTGCAGGGATTGCATCGCACTTTAATCCTATTTTTTTTCATTTATATCTAATCCCTCCAGACTTGGATCCTCTGCAGACTCAGTGTTGTGTTCTTTAAGCAACGGGCCAGCAGACTGAACTGCATTGGACCTGAGCAGCTCTCCCTGTATCCCATTAAACACCAGCTCTGAACTTGACGTGGCACCATTAATCTTTCATTGTGTGCTTGGTTGACTGTCTCGTCCTCTCATAGTTCCAGCTAATTCTCATTTTTCTCGTGCATTGTTTCAGTGTGTGGAACTATTCTTAATTCTTTGCTGGGAGACAAAAATACTGGATTCGGAACATATTGCAAACTGTTAAAGCTTAATAGGAAACCAGAGTGTAAAGCCAAATTAATTGGGTAGCTAAAAAAATCAGTTCAGAGGTGGAAGGCAGATCTTGGCTTGAGAAAGTTTTTATTAGTGTTTGTAGGGAATCAAAGGCAGAGCTTTTTGTTTGAGCTTGCTCTAGTGCTTTTCTCCAAAGAGTGAAGCCTGGAATGATCAGGTTGCACAAGGTCCAAGTGCTGAATGTCCTTTTGCAGGGAGGTGTTCCACAAGGTCCTCCCCCTGCCACCCCCTTTCTCCTCCAGCTGGAACTACCAAACCCCAAGTCCCTTCACCTGCTTTCGGTTGGAATCTTCCTGTTTCTTTCCTCTCTGCTTCTGACTTAATCCTTTGCCTACTTCACAGGCCGGTTCTTTGATGAGAATGAATCCCCTGTTGATCCGCAGCAGGGTTCTAAACTGGCAGATTATAATGGGGATGATGGTAACGTGGGTGAGTATGAGGCAGACAAACAGGCTGAGCTGGCTTACAATGAGGAAGAGGATGGTGATGGTGGAGAAGAAGACGTCCAAGGTGAGCTTGGGCCTTATCTCCATCCCATTGTAATAAAATCCACGCTGAGTTCACTTGTTGAATTTGTGTAAAGCTTTTGCAAATTTAGCAATTTAATTTCTAATACAGAATAAATAAGCTCCGGGCAACCTTTAAACCCGCTCTCGCTCTCCGTTTGAAAGCAGCGTTGCCGCAGTTTTCAGCGGGAGGAGCGATTCCTGGGTTGGGTCCCGTGTACCCTTTCGGCTGCAAAAATGGAGATGCTTCAAATTCCTGAACTGGTTTTGCCTAAAACCCTGAATCTGGTACCTGCCTCGCTGGGTCGTAGCCTTTGCCATTGCTAAAGCAATTTTCAAACACGAGAGCAGAGTGGTTTTGCCTCCTGCTTTTGTCACAGCTGCCTCAGGTGCTGTGCGAGAGGTCTCGGCGATGCTGAGCGGCGTTTTTGCACGTTGTACACAGATTCAACAGGCTTCTGGTTTTCCTCACTAACCCAACTTCAAACCTCCTTCACCTGGCACTAACACCTGCACCATCTGCATGTCCACCCTGGGTTCTGCCGCGCGGCACCTCTCCATCGCTTGTCTGCCGCGGCTCGGCCGTTCTCCATCCAGTGTTTGGTGGTGTTTTGTGAAAGGCTTGCATGTCTGCAGCTGGAAATGTTCACATACACATAGATGGTGTTTCCAGTTAAGGAACGTGTGCAATGAAGTGTGGGGGGGAAAAAAAACCCTTTTTTTAAATTTTTTTTTTTGTTTTAGATTGAAGTTCTGCAGGCTCTCTGATTTTGATCCTCGTAATGCAAGTTTTTGGCTGTTAGTTTTTCAGACACGTATTTAATTGGTATGCGAGCATAATTAATAGGAAAAGCTGATAAAAAGCAACTGATTTCTGTGGGCGTGCATCTAACTGTGCAGGGTCAGCATTTTTTGTCTGGGCTGGTAGTTTGAAACTCATGAACAAGCAAAAGAAAAGAATCAGAACCCTGAGCAATTAATTAACTTACTGATAAAAATGACAACTCTGCTGCTGCTGCTCCCGGAGATGTGTCCTGTTTTGTTACAGTTTTGCTCAGAACTGTGGCAGTGGGTTTTAACCACCCTGGGTCTCTCCTGTGTGTCCCTCGGGCTGGGTTATCATTGGGTGTCGTGTGCTGGTACAAGCTGGATTGCAGGTGGAGGTACAGAGGCACGTACAGCTGCTTCTGCTGGTGCCGTGCTGGGGAAGGAGGAGATTTGGTTCGAGTGATTGTGATGCTGCAATGAAAAGGGAAGCGTGGTGTCACCGCGCCTGCTTGGGTGTCAGCTCTGCCCTGCAAAGCCCAGCACTTGTGTGGGTTGGGTTGTTCCTGGTTTCTAGTTCAATTCTCCTCAGTAAGCAGCGGGTGATGCCAGGCTCCTCACCACCACAGATCCTTAACTGGACTTCAGCACACAAGTCCTGAAGTTCTGACCAAGGCCAGTGACTGGTGCTGAATCTCTGCAGCCTCTGACATTTCCCTCAGTCTCTGGGCTCGTCCCGACCCGCGGCCGCTGCGCTGCCGAGCAGGAGGGTGGGAGGAAGAGGAGGGTGAGGGCTGCCCACACTGTCCCCAGCTCTTGCTGTGCCTCACAGCTCCGTGCTGGTTTGTTCCTCAGCACAAACACGTCGCTGGGGTGGCCTGTACAGGGACACCAGTGGCTGTAGGTAGCAGGAGTTAATATCCTGCGTGCTCTCAGCTGTTACCAGTAACAGCACAGCACTCCTGTACGCCAGCTGTGAAAGGGGGGGTCTGCTACAGGAGCAAGTGGTGGAAAACGGTTAAAAACCATGGAGATTGTTCTTAGGTAGCTTGCTGTGTGAGGGATATTGGAAAAAAATAAGAGCTCTGACTGAAAGTGGTGTCAGAAAACTGTTTTCCATTTAGATGTGGTACCTGTCGGTTCACTGCTGTGGTGGATTTAAATTTGGACTTGGCAAAGGTCTCTTTTCTGATCCTATCTGTCTGTATAGATGTAAAGGATTGGAGATCTGGTAGTAAAGATGAAGGAGTGACTTCTGGAAGCCTTTTCTTGAAGAATAGTCTGAGCACCATATGCTACTGCCTCACACTTAATGTGGTAGGAGAGGGTAGAACTGTCAGGGTTTGGAGGGAGGGTGGTTAAAACTGTTTAGGGAGGGGGGAAAAACCCTGAATTTCTGTCTAAAAATTATTAGAAAAACATCACATGGTTTAGCATTAGGCCAGAACAAAGCATGTGGCATGTGCCAACAAAGCCATTTAATTAAACATGTTCTTCTGTTGCTGCTAGAAATGTGTGGGCCTTCGATTGAAATTTTCAGAGGAAAATAAAGAAATCTGGGAGACAGGCTGATGCGAGTGTCAGTGTCCAATCTGGCATCCCTCCTCTCAGCCCACCTGCTGGGGATGCAAGGTGATATTTAAAAGTTGTTGGCTTCTACTACAGTAAACGTGTTTCTGTGGTGGCTGGTTGGTGGAGGGTTGTACAAACCCAGCGCTCTCCACATGCTGCACTGGTAGTTTCTTACCAAAAAAACTGTGTGTCGTGTAGATAAACTTCAGCCTTTTGCTGGTGGGAGCCGGTTACTGCCGGGTACCCACCTCATGTGCAGGAGGAGTAATTGTTGTGAAAGTGTTGAAGCACTTCACAGAATTATCCCAGAACTGCCTGGATTGGAAAAGCCCTTTAAGCTCATGGAGTCCAACCATGAACCCAACACTGACAAGTCCCCTATGACTAACCCATGTCCCTCAGCTGAAGTTTTAGGGCTTTTTCACTTGTTGAGGGAAGCAGGCTGGGGACCCACACAGGAGGGAGCTGAATTGCAGAAGATTAGAATATCTTTTTAAAACATCACTTGGAAAAAAAAATACTGGAGTTTTCTTGATGGACATTTCAGTGGGTGCTGCAGTAAATGGTTATACTGGGGATGCATAAGGGTTTTTTAAATTTAATGATTTTTCACAAGGTTCAAAAACCAAAACCCAAGGAGTAGAAGTGAAGAAGCAGGACAGAGTGGAGTGGTGGAGAGAGGCAGTCATTCTGGAGCTGAAAGACGGGGTGAAACCTCTTCATCCTTCCAGTCAGGGACAAAGCTGTGAATCCAGCTGGGAAGGATGAAGTGGCCACTTCCAGCGCCTCGCCCTGGCCCTGCTCCTGCCGGGTGCTCCCTGGCTGGGTGCTCAGCCTCTCTGTAGCTCCAGCTCCTCTCTGTAGCTCAGGAGCAGATGTCTGCACTGCTGGGCTGAGCATTTATCGTGCAGGAGCCCGGCGAGATGGGTTTGGCTCAGCGGGGAGGAGCCGCGGTGAAGAATGTATTGTTGGCTTTTCAGCAGTGCTGAGAGAGAGAGAACGGGGATTTCCATCGATAAGAGGTTGGAAAAGGTCAAGAGCTGCCTTTGATGTGTTTAAAAGTCTCTCTTCA